ATATATATATATATATATATANATTATATATATATATATATATAAAAGAAAAAAATTAAAGTCCACAAAATAATGCATCTTATAATGTATTATATGAACTGTCAATTTTCAAGATATTCAACTATTCATAGATTTGCTCGTTCTGAAACTTTAGAATTTATAAATAAAAAGGATTGCATACAATGAGACCATTTACCTTTAATATAAGGATGTCACAATTACTTACAACCATCCGATTTGAAATTTGGTAGCATGGGTGCGTCACAAAATTCAAGTCCACAAAATAATGCATCTTATAATGTATTATATGAACGGTCAATTTTCAAGATTTTGAACTATTCATAGATTTGCTTGTTCTGAAGCTTTAGAATTTATAAACAAAAGGCATTGTATACAATGAGACCATTTACCTTTAATATAGGGAGGTTACAATTACTTGCAACTATCCGATTTGAAATTTGATAGCTTGGGTGTGTCATAAAATTCGAGAAATATTCTTTTGAACTTTGAGCTTGGTCAATGAAATAAATACAGCCACCCAATTTCACATCCAATGGTAAAGATTAATTGTGACCACCTTGTAACAAAGGTAAATGGTCTCTTCATATATTTTCTTAATTAAAAATGGAAATAACTTTTTAAACCTTCACAAAGATTTCTGCCTAGGGGTGGCAATGGACCCGACCAGACTCGAGACCCAACAGGTAGACCCGACCTCAAGTTCAAGTATAAGTCCAAATTTTGGATCCAAATACTATTCGGATGCAAGTCTGGGTCCAACTGTACCAGACCCATACCCAAAGTCATAAGGTATATGTGGGTCTTTAGGCGTACGCTAGGTGTTCATACTATCACAATATTGGTAACATTTACAGTATTATCGGCAAAAAAAAAAGATGCTCATAGTCATAGGGTATATGCTGGTAGAAAAACAAATAGAAAAAAAAAAAAGATCATGGTCATAGGGCAGCAATGGATCTGACTAGACCTGGGACCCAACGGGAAAACCTGAGACCCAACAGGTCCAGGTATGGGTCTGAATTTTGGACCGAATACTATTCAGGTGTGAGTCCCTGTCCAGCCGGACCCGACCTATTGCCACCCTTATTTCTGGTTCTAAAACCACATTTAGAGGTGCCAATCTTATACAAACCTCAACTTATGAACTTTTTTTTTTTTCCCTGTATATGTTATAATATATTTCTACAAAGAGGTAGCAAATTTATTTAATTTTTTTCTTTAGGTAAAAGGAGAGAGAGAGGGGGGGCATCTAGGGGTGGCAATGGGTCGGGTCCAACTAGACTCAAAAAAAAGTTATGGGACCTGACTCGATCAGATAATAAATAAATAAATATATATATATATATATATATGTATTATTTATATATTATAATTGAAATATACAATTATATTTATTTAAATGTTAATTAAATATTATTAAAATATTATATATTATTTAAATAATAATACTATTCGGGTCAGGGTCCACATTGACCCAGACCCGAATAGCGTTCAGGTCCAAACCCAGATCCGATTGGCCGGATCCAATTTTTGAACCCATACTCGGACTGGGTCGGGTCGTGTCCCGGTTGGTCCGGGTCCATTGCTACCCCTATGGATGATGAGCATGGGTTAGACATGCATTTGAAGCAAGGCACATGTGTCACAGGAACACCTGCTTTGATTAATCATTTTAGAGTGAACTGGCGAGCTCTATTCCCTTCTTTCAAACACTCACAGCTTTGACATCAATTCAATTCTTTTTAAATATTCCTTCTTGGGATTTGTTTTCTAATGTTCCTCGCTACTTATATTTATACTCCTATTTGAACGAAAATCGGGGAGAAAATTTATTTTCTAATCCGGGGTGATTCCTTGTACCCGTTATCAATGCATATGCTACTTAATAATAAAGAATTTTTGTTTTTAATTAAAAAAGGGTGATTCCTTGTAATTTTTTTAGGGGTGCAGTTCGCATACGGATGCATCCGTAAGTATAGAGGTAAAATGTTTATGGTATATAATTTTGATGTAAAATATTCTTAGGATTATCTCAAAATCTATTTTTATATCTAATTATAAAATTTAAAATTTAAAAAAAGGTTAAAATCAAGTAGATCTATAAACATATGAAAATCTTGAAAATGGACGATGTAGACAATATGTTGTAAAATTCATCATTTTTGAGACTTAAAATCTTTTTATTTTGCATGGTCATACATCTCGATGTCGAGATGATCAATCAAAGGGTTTTTTAACATTAAAACTAACTTTTTCCGATGGATTTTTGAGGCGCATCCGTAGTGCTACATTATAAATTTGCATCCTTAGATAAACTTTTTCTTTTTTTAGTGAGGTTTATGTGTCAACATCGAACAATCAAAGTAAGGTCCATATTTAAATCTTACTCAAAGATACTGTTTCAGTACGGAAAATCTTTACAATGGCCTAAAAATCCATTTTTACAATCCAATTATGAAATTCAAAACTTTAAAGAGCCGTCTATAAATGCTTTAAATTTTTGCAAATTGATTGTCCAGACAATGTGTTACAAGATTCACTATTTCTATGACTAAAAATCTTCTTTTTTTTTTTTTTTCCATATCCATGGATCTTAAGATGGAGATGGTCAATTGTAGGGTTTGAGGTGCACCTTATATAAATTTTTTTTTTAATCTTTTTTTCTTGGACATGCATTTTTAGACATTCAAACGTGGAGCGTCCATTAGAGGACTTCGAGAAAATGAAGGGCTAAGAACAGATGCCCACAAACACATGGGAGATAGAGAGAGAATATTGAGGCATGCACAGATGTTCAATACTTTCGTAAGTTAGTCCAAAAGTACATACTGTCTCGTAAAATGTAAGCATTTCCACTTTCATGCCAAAAATACAAACACCAACACAGAGGACCCCTGCCAAAACACACAGAATTTGTAGAGAGACAAACCCCCCTATTCATATTCTCTCTAAGCCACTTTCCCGTCCACTAAAAAAAGCACAAATCCGGCAACCACCGCCGGAAAACCGCTATTCCTTGGCCGGTGAACCGGACCGGCTCGACACGCCGGTCCGGCAAAAAGAAATAAATGGCCATTTCTCTTCCCTAAGCAAACCCGAAACCGCCCGCCGGGCTTCGGGCTCGGAAAAACCAATCACAAAAAACTTTGCACTTTCACTTCTTGCTGCAATAGTTGGGGCCTCTCAAATGGCTGGCGTTTTCAAACCAAAAAAGTATATAGAGAGAGAAGGTATAGTTACGAGATAGGAGTAGTTATGTGTTTAGAGAGAGAAAGTGTAAATGGTAGTGTCATGAGAGAGAATCAATGGTATTACACAGAGAGATGGAGAGAATAAAGGGTAAGTAGTATCTCAAAGTCAGTGTGTCTAGAGAGAAAGAGAGAGAGATAAGTATGAGTAGTGGGGGTGAAGAGTGAGAAGGATGGTAGAGAGAGAAAGAAGTCACTAATCATCGCCATGAATGTACCAGCACAAGAGCATGGTGGCACAGCGCCTTAGAATGTAGAGCCTGGCCCTTTGCTCCTTTACTAAGGCAGCACAGCGCCTTCCAAGCCCATGCCTGGACCTCTTGGGTGGCTTTAGGGCTTTCATTTCACCTTGTGCCTCACCCATTTTCTCTATCTAAAACTCTCTCTCTCTCTAAAACTATAGAGATCCAACAATGCATAAGCCTGAGGACCCCCACGGCACCCACCCTTATTTATACGCCAAGATAAGGGTTGACCCAGGTTACAAAAAAGAAGAGAGCAGCTGTTGCACCAATAAAAAAAAAGAGTAATTTGCATAAGGACCAAAAAAACAATACAAATTAAGGGCAATTTTTTATTAAAATTACAAAAAAGATTAGTCAAACCGTATTTTTTTTTTTAAATTATCCCTCGGTCCAGAGATGTCATCCTCAAATTGCTTTTTATTTATTTATTTTTTCAGTTTTTCACTAGTAGGGCTTAGTTCTAGAGCGATCCGAGGATGAAGATCTCGAATCGCTCTAGAATTGAATCCTGAGCCTTGAATCAGATTTAAAGCGGTCAGAGGTCCTCATCATCGGACCGCTCTTTGTTTCTTTCTTATAAAACAAAAGAGCGGTCCAAAAATGGGGACCTCGGACCGCTCTCGAACTGAGCCCTGAGCCCTAAATCAAATCTAAAGCAGTCTAACGTCCCTGCCATCGGATCTCACTTTGTTTCTTTTTTTTGGAAGAAAAGAGCGATCCGAGGATGGGGACCTTCGATCGCTCTCTGAACTTAGCCAGGTGAGCATTAGTACGAAAAATTTAAAAAGTAAAATAAAAATTAGTCCAAAAGGGGTAATTTTAGAAAAAAATAATAAAAAACACAAGTTCACCAACCTTCCACATAATTTTTTTTTTTTAAGATTGGCTCATTTCGTATTTTCCCATTTTCATCTATAGGTAAAGAAAAATTGTTTCATGCAGACTGGACCGCAATGACTATATATGTGGTCCAAAAAGTGTAAAGCACCTATCTTAAAGATGAATGCAAGTAGATGTTCCATCTAAAAACAATGGAAACTAACATCCAAATATTTTCTTATTAGAATTATTGTTTCTAATTTTTAAAATTTATTTATTTTTCCATGTTCATAATATCTATGTTAGAGATTACCCATCCTTAAAAATTAAGTCTAAATCTCCATGTTATAGATTACATATACTTAAAAGTTAAGTCCAAGGAATCCATCTTAAAAATATATTTATTAATAGACTTACATTTATAGGGCTCGGCCTCATAGAAACGGGATCCATAAGTAAATTACTCATGAAAAAAACAAACAAGAATGAGGGGGAGAGATGGAAAAAATGGGAGGAGAGAGAGCTGGAAAAAGGGAAGAGATAGAAGTAAAAAAAGCTTGTGATGTTACATCAAAAGGGCAGAGAAGTGGTTATCTAAAAAGAGACAAAAATGCAAACCGAATAAAAGGGTTGAGAAAGAAAAGAAAGAAGAGACAAAATGGAAAGCCACTCAAAGAGGGGACAAAGAGAACAATGAAGAAGCAATAAAGAAGATAAAAAATCACCCCCCAACAAAAAGGAGGGGAGAGAAACTAAATAAGGGAATAGCATGATACCCCATAAAAAGGAGGGCCTGAGAGAGATGTTAGCCGATTACAATATTTATTTGGACTCGTTCGAGTAACTTGACTCTCTCATATCTGTTTTAATTTGATTTTAGTGGCTAAATTTGGGATACTAAAAAATTAAAAATTTATTAATAATATCTAAAAAATAAAAATTTAATTTACCATTTTGCGAGAGATTGAAAAGTATTATAACCATGAATAATCATTATTACTATTTTCCTTCTCTTTTTGTATTATCAAAAAAACACAAAACACCCCTTATCACAAATTGATTTTTAAAATTTATTTGTCACTAGTTTTTTAACCCCAGATATAATTCATTTGATTTTTCTATAAACATATTTTTTATATTTATTTTTACTTTTTAACATTTTTTTTACCTAACCACTACTTGCTCGACGTAGCCCAAGTTACCCGGACCCGGTCAAAGTTATTCGGCCCTAGCGAGGCCGGATACTGTGCCCGAGTGGGGGGTTTCCTATATTGTCAGGAAGAGAATGGAGGAGAGAGAATGTTGATAAAATGGGAGAGGAGAGAGAACATAGATTATGAAAGGTCGGCCTAGAGAGAGAAAGTGAGGACATGGCGCTTGGAGGCATGGAAGGTCGGGCTAGTCGAACGTGGGGGCAAGCAATATTAAAATGAGAAGAGGGTTCCTTAAAGTGAGCGCATGTAATGTAGAGAGAGAAAGTAGAGAGAGAAAGAAGAGAGAGAAGTGCGGGGGATGTGCCCATACAAGACAAGGCAAACCCCAGGCCCCTTGCTCAACCTTGCTCCCTTCCAAGGGGGGCAAGCCCCATTCTTTATTTTCCTTGTTATCTCCTTATTATATACTTTATTATATACACTTTTGGAAAGTAGAGAGAGAATGATTGTGATTGTAGAGAGAGAATGTACATACTTGTTATCCCCATCCAAGAATTAGATGGACGGTGGTGATGATTGTCGACCCAAAAAGAAACCATAAGAACCTTTGTTACAGGCCCCACTTTCTCTCCATCACCCTCCATCTACTTGTTGAATGGTGATAAAAATATGGACCACTCTTTCTCTATGAACATATGGACCACAGTACGCTTTCCCTTACTGGAATACGTTGTTTTTGTCTTTGTGGACTTGGGACCACGGCAGTGGAGGATCTCCTACGAGGATTTAGTGCCAATAAACATCATATCTTTACACGTAATGGCATATCCGATGGTCAAAAGACAGCGGTAGGATCTTCTTGGATTTGGTGGTCTAGAGAGAGAGGGAGGGAATATTATCCCCTGTACATCAGTACAAACAAGCTCCTTGTAATGTGTTTCTCTCTCTACCATCTCTCTAATTTAATGTGTTTCTTTCTCATGGTATATATGTGTGCCTCTCTCTCTCTCTATATGCATGCCTCTCTCTCTACATTTCTCTTTCTCATGTGTTTAATATGTATCTAGATATCCACCACAAGATTTCGTATATTTTCATGTTTAATATGTTCTTTTATACAATATTTAAATATTGAATTGATGTTTTAGATCAAGGGTCATACCGTCACTAAAGTCACAAGTCTCCATATTTTTTCTCACTAATTTCAACAACGTACTTTTAGACGTATCTCTTACCATTTTTTAGCCTTCCACTTGGATTAACTTACGCTTTCTAACAGATGTTGAACTGAATTGTGCACACATGATCAGCCCACCTAAGTCTACTCCTTCTTATATGTTTCATACATACGGCCGCAAATATGGATGTACTAATAATAAATGTTTATGAATACAGCAACTTCCATGAAAATCTAGGTGTGAAACGGTAGTACAGATCTTTTAGTGCGAGTTTGATAAGTAAAAGTTTCTGGAAGTGGGAGTTAAATGTTCGACTTTCATATTTGATATTACTGTGTGGAAGTTGTAAAGTGGAACGGTGGCCTTCAACTAGCTCTTCTTTGGTATTAAAATGAGTTCATTTTTAGAAGATCTCTATTCCATAGAAAACGATGGAAGAGTAGTATTTCATAATTTGTGGTAGAGTACATGTCAAACAACTCTTAGAGAGAGAGAGAGAGAGTACAACAGTATACTCCATGGTGGGATTCCTTGTCCCCCAATCGAAGTTCGAGCCCGGATTATTGTCTAAGCCTCCTCATAAACACCCTTTCATTTAATCAAGTAATATTGAAACCACAACAATTACACGCACATCTATGACTTTGCTTGCCCCTCAAATAACCAAAAAAAAAAAACAAAACTTATCATCTCTCCATTGAGAAGTTTCCTTCTCACTTCAAAAGTTTGCTTTGTGTATATATACTAATCAAGTGCTATGAATATGGACCAAACTTGCAATTCTTATCTAATGTGAGCTTACTTTCTTTAATCATCATATCACAATGACTAAGACATATATCCGAGGATCTTGGATTTAGATGAGATTGTATGGCTTTCAATCCATTTTGGACTTCGTGTTCCACCTTCTTGGTAGGGCTGGGCTCAAGCCGGGCTTGACATGGCCCGATCCTCGCTTGAACCAAATTATATCGGTTAGGGCCAGCTTAGTTTGAATATTTCTGGCTGGGCCTATGTGTAGCCTGAATTAATCTAAACTTTGTATTATGTCCATATAAGACCTTCATGATCTATTGGACAGAAGTGTACATGACATGAGTTGGAAAAATGTCCCCAATAAAGTGACACAAGTGTCATCGATGGAACTTGAAACAAATCAATCAAATTATGAACATCGATGTTCCACTTTTCTCGGGTTTTTGCTGTTACGGAACATTACAGAAAAATATGATGTTTGTCCTCAATAGCTTATTTGGCACAAAGTCGACAAGTGCGTTCTTCTTTAAGAATTTGAAGCCTCTTCATGTTTTAATACGAAAGCAATGATATCTCATTCTCGCCCTATTGATCTGAATCTGGGGGTAAAGAAGGATAGGATCGTTCAAATAAATTGTTCTTATTAAATTATATCGTATCGATAGCAATTCATCAAAATGTACCTAAAAATGAACTATTTAACATTTTACCTCAGGTGTAATTTGATAAATTCGAACCCATTTGGACATGTCATTTTGATGGGTTATTTGAAAGTAAATAAGAAAAATATGGGTAAGATGTCCAGTAGTTCATATGCATATGTAGTTTGATCAATTTCTCCTAAATCAATTAGGTTGTAGCCTGGCTTGGTGCGAAAACTGAATTGTGCATGGCCAGGTTGAGCTTGTATCTATTTTTTGTGAAATAAATGTATATTTCATTGAATATGGGATAAACTATGGGGGGCAGCAAAGTAGGGTTCGGGACCGTCCATTTTAGTTAAAGGATATAAGATTTGAATATATTTTTAAAGATATTTTCACAAAAGACATGTTAAATCTGTACTGTATAACCAAAGGACACGGTTTTATAAGCCCATTTAGAAATGAGATACCTCTTAAAATCTATTATTGAGATGGGACCGCATAATGTATAAATGCAGTCCAACTCGCATGAAACAATTTTCCATAACCAAGAGGGTGTGCCTTGTATAAGGCTCCGACCCTAACTGATCAAAGTAAGGCGCACCTTCAA